ACACACACACACACACATACACACACACACACGTAACGAACAGCACGCGACAAAATCAGTGCGAAATTATCCATCAGAGATTAACTCACGCGATACGTTAATTAATAGCCATGGCCTATCACATAGTATGGTGGCCGAGATGGCTACGGATATTTTTATTATATATTTGTAATTCATTTTCATTCCAAATTCATTTTTATTTCAAATTCATTTTCATTCCAAATTCATTTTTATTTCAAATTCATTTTCATTCCAAATTCATTTTCATTCCAAATTTATTTACATTTCAAATTCATTTTCATTCCAAATTCATTTTCATTCCAAATTCATTTTCATTCCAAATTGCGAGGCCGCAATCGCGGTGGCCGAGATGGCTACGGATATTGGTGGGATGCGGAGTGACGTCCCCTCCCTTTAGTGGGACTCAACAAACCTTCAAACAAGAAAACAAACGCCATTTGTAAATGTTTTGTTTTGGTTTATGATAGGTAGATAAGTAAGTTTTTTTCTGATGTATTTTCTATGAAAAACACACGCAACAACACTTATTAATATAAAATATAATATCACTATAATTGCAATTCTTTGTGTAAATGTGTTATTTTTATCTTAATCCTAAAGTTATGAGAGGGTCTGGGCCCTCGTAATACTACATACTCAAACCACAACTCATTACAGGGTGCGGCCATTTTGGAGTAACTAAAAACATGGATCGGAAAACCAGTAACCCACACAAAATACACTTACTAAATCAATTAATAAAATCAAAAAGGGAAAGGATAGCAGTATTAAAGTACGGATAAAAGGATAAGGCGGAAATAAATAAATGAACAATTAAACTAGAATACGAATGGAAAATAACTCGGCTACCAGCAGATGCAAAAAGGCTAAAGGTTCTACACTGGGTAATCATTTTCCATAGGCGGCCATACTTACGAAAAAAATCCCATAAATCAGCAGAAGTTTTTTTTAGAAATAACAATGCCATCCTCTGAATCCAAGTCGCAAGTGACACCATATATGTTATTAACAAAAAAATTCTTCCATAATTTTTTTTTTTAACAAAATTTTGCCAGCACTCGAAATTGCCAATATACAATGTGAATCTGCACAAAAAGTAGGCTTTCTTTGAAAATTGGGCCGAACGCACCTTGGACGAGCCGTTTACACTGTCGGGTTCAGAAAAGATTCTAGTTTCTGAAATTAACAATTGTAAAGAGTTCTAACCCTTTCTAATGAGAAATACAAAATTCAAGCGTACGCATACACTCAAATACGATCTCATTCTGACCCTGTCCCAGCGCTCATTGGTGGATTTGCCACCGTCGTACCTTAAGCGGTTGAATTTTTCTGCTAAAAATCCTTCGCTTGCATATATGCTAACCTCAACACGTTGTGATGTCACAGTAGAACAAAATGTTCGTCGTGCATGCCAGTTACCATCTATGAATGAATCTGCGTCACGACGTCCCCTCTCTATTCGGTCACCGGCCGGCTAAAACCTCGAATTTCGTCGACTTTCAAACTGCAATGCAACAAAAAGGAAGACGATATCAACTATCAGTTTCTATCACAACGGTGTAGTAGACACCTCACAATTGGAATTTAACAGTTTTCAGTTTGACCTTTTGACCTCTGATTTTTAAGAATAAATTCCCCAAACCCATGTTTTCGTATATTTTCAATAGTTAATTGCTCATTCTAAAAAGAACGTGGCGTCAGTCTGTCTCTATCAGCAGGTGGCCATCTCGTAGTAACGTTCCATAGTAAACAGGCAATTAGCAGTAACGGCATTTCTTATCAGAGAAAAAGTGCTGCACCCCCCTTCAGCTACTGGAAAACATAGCCACTGGGCAATACTGTCCCAGCACAACGCAGCAGAAATGACGTAGAACTGATTTTTTGTTACTGAAAACCTGTGTAACAGACAGTTCTGCTGATGCTCATTCCCATTTATCCCCCAGCAGCATTTTGGCTTTGCCGGAAATCGCCGAAGAGAGAGCAGTAAAACCAATCATAAATCGCTTATAAAACACGAGAAATCTGCTCGTCAAAGGTCACGCAGTGCACGTAAAGGTCACCGCCGAGGCGGACGCAGCCTCCGAAGAAGCCCGGGACAAGTGCTCTAGAAAACAACTGTTGAAGAGCACTTTCGACTCTGCTGGCACGCGATAGGAATGCAACAGCAGGATGGAGGCAATCGACGCCGACAACCGTTCGAGCGGCGTTGGATTTCTCTAACCTTCTCTGTCCTCTTCACAAGAGCACTGCATAAGTCGCCACCTGGTGCAAAGCGAGGGCAGTGCCAACTTAAGATACAACCGGCTGTAGAATCGAAGATAGGTCGCTTAGCTACGAAACCAGTCTGTCAATGACTGCACCGCCCAGTCTTACCTGTGGTGGTGCCGATCTCACGTGAGAAAACAAGGCATGGCAGCAGTGCGAAGAGATCCCTTGCAAGGCTGTCAAGTCTGCAGCATGCCACCATGTACAGGGGAAGAAGTACGAGTTCGCAGTGGCCGCACGCACCTTCAGCAACCAGCCAGTCAGTCTGTAGACGTACCTAGTAGAACAGGAACAGAGTCGCTATATGCCCAGCAGCCGGCATATATCTGACGGCTGCCGGGCACAGTCTTCGATTTCCTAAATTCCCGGCAGTTTTTAATTTTCAGCGTTATCTCAAGTAAACAAGGGTTAGGGTTAGGATTAGGGTTAGGGTTAGAGTTAGGGTTAGGGCTAGGGTTAGGAACTGCCGGGCATTTAGGAAATCGAAGACCGTGCCCGGCTGCCAGGCATATAGCCACAGCATACTCTCGATAACCGTCGCAACAAGTTCGCCTATCTGTATGCATTCTCGTCACACATCTGTACTATTAATTAATTAGTAATCTCGCTTAGAGTTAGGATGTAAGTTTTAGAACACACCAACAGAGTAGTGCAAGAAAGTGGCCACAGACAGCATTGTTGCAGCCGGGCAAGCTCTAGAACTATAGCTTTTCGGAGGGGTTTCTGTGCTTTTCGAGGGGGGGGGGGTAAGTTGTTTTCTGTAGCTTTTCGGGAGGGGGGAGAGCTATAGGCACTCGTTTCAGTACATGATGTCCATGGTCAGACACCATGCAGATACGATGCAACAGTGGTTTTTATGCCATTTTTTGCTGTACTTGTTTTTTGCAAACAGAACGCATGCTAGTAATTATAACAAGGCTAAAATGTCCGAAATTTTGCAGCAAAAAAAAATCTAGCTTGATGCTTCGTTTTCGATCGACACGCAAATGAATTGGAAAATAATGGCATTTATTTACAACACAGTTAAGGTTCTACACTGGGTAATCATTTTCCATAGGCGGCCATACTTACGAAAAAAATCCCATAAATCAGCAAAAGCTTTTTAAGAAATAACAACGTCATCCTCTGAATCCAAGTCGCAAGTGACCCCATATATGTTATTAACAAAAAAATCTTCTATAATTTTTTTTGTAAACAAAATTTTGCCAGCACATGGCCAATTTACAATGTGAATCTGCACAAAAAGTAGGCTTTCTTTGAAAATTAGCTAGCTAGAAAATGTAGCGTCGACTTATTTACCCGGCTGAGAAATATACCGGGACACTGCCTTGACGACGCCGTTTGTTGACATTTAGCCTTTTTGCATCCGCTGGTACCGGCCGAGTTATTTTCCATTCGTATTCTAGTTTAATTGTTTATTTATTTATCTCCACCTTATCCTTTTATCCGTACTTTAATACTGCTAGCCTTTTCCCTTTTTGATTTTATTAATTGATTTATTAAGTGTATTTTGTGTGGGTTACTGGTTTTCCAATCCATGTTTTTAGTTACTCCAAAATGGCCGCGCCCTGTGATGAGTTGTGATTTGAGTATGTAGTATTACGAGAGCCCAGACCCTCTCATAACTTTAGGATTAAGATGAAAATAAAACATTTACACAAAGAATTGCAATTATAGTGATATTATACTTTATATTAATGAGTAAAATGTGTGTTTTTCATGGAAAATACATCAGAAAACTTACTGTTCTCTCTCGTTTACTTACTTGTCTTACTTGTCTTACTTACTCGTCAACTTACTTGTTCTCTTGTTTGAAGGTTTGTTGAGTGCCACTAAGGAGAAGTGACGTCACTCTGCCCCACCAATATCCGTAGCCATCTCGACCACCGCGATTGCGGCCTCGCAAATGAATTTGGAATGAAAATGAATTTGAAATGAAAATGAATTTGGAATGAAAATGAGTTTGGAATGAAAATGAATTTGAAATGAAAATGAATTTGGAATGAAAATGAATTTGAAATGAAAATGAATTTGGAATGAAAATGAATTTGAAATAAAAATGAATTTGAAATGAAAATAAATTTAAAATAAAAATGAATTACAAATAAATAATAAAAATATCCGTAGCCATCTCGGCCACCATACTCATGAGTGGCGTTGGTCGTATAATCGTCGAATTTCTGATTATTCGTGAGAAATGGCAATCGAGTTTTTGTCGACGTTTTCGGAACATTCGTAGTATGTTTCGAGTTATTATCTATTATCTAGTGGACAAGCGCGCATACTATAATATACTTGTAGTCGTAACGGACTAAGAAGCCCTAGATGTTCTCCGTATGGATTTCACGTCGAATTTACAACCGCAAAAATAGAATCAAAATAAAAACAAAACAATCATAAAAAACAAAAATTAATTAATTGGTTTAGAACGATCTACGCGCCGTGCGTGTATAGATCGTAACTCCCGAGAATATGTGAAGAATATCCCTACAGAGACGTGTTGCGCATATAACCTGAGAATGAAAGAATCAGTGAAATCAGGGAGCCTCTATAGTAAGGCAGATAAGCACATATGTACACAGATGTGCACATTTGGTTAGAATTGTGAAACTATGTACACGCCTACTACATAAGGCCCTGAAGATTTTCTGATATAACACCAAATGAACAGCGCCACCTGATGGCAAACAGAGCCCCCTGGCTACTATAGTATGAGGCAATATTCCGTAAATAGCTCGGTTGGCATGACGGCTCCATGCTCATGTTTGATCTCGCCATTAGGCGCGGCTGTCCCTTTGACGATATTAAATCAACGAACGATGGCAACGTTGTCATTAATTATCACAGTAATTTATCGATGACAGTTTGTAATAAATAAATAAACCCTTCTCCGGTTATACCGTTGGTTTTACATACATAATAGAATACTGTCTATATTTATGTACTTGTTGTCACGATTCGCTCGACTATATAATAGGACAGGAAGGAAAGGCGTTGCGTTATCATTGTTTGCGTGAAACGGTTTGGAACACGCGCGGTAATTAGTAATTAGCGATTCACGTTATATTTAATTACGATGCTGCTTCCAATGTTTATTCATCGCTCGACGTGTAGCATCCGTCAAACACATGAGCATCCGTCAAACACATGAGCATCCGTCAAACACATGAGCAGCAGTAGTAGCATTAGCAG